CCAGAGAGAATAAAAATAGAAACCTTCTTGTAAGATGAAGAGGCAAGAGTCTTAAGTATAATTTAAACAATGTATTCAAATAGATTAGCTCCATGGTTAATATGATGCCCTGTGCTGATATTCTGCAAAAACATTAAAAACCACTTCTTTGTAAAATTAGAAATTTGCCATTTTGGAAATTATTCTGGAAATCAATCTTTCCTACACGAAGGTTAAAGAATTGATTTTTCTAACATACAGATTTTATAGTATTATTAGTAGGGAAATGCAATGTAAAATGATGTTTGATGATTATAAATGTGACTTGTTTTTTTTGTTTTTTTTTACTTTATTACAGTCTGTTACAGAACCAAACTTATAGCTCTTTTTGTACTTTTCAATGTTATAATCTAAAAGCAATTCTTTTTTTCTGTTGAAATTAGAATTCTGGTTATTGATAAAAAATATTTCAGTTTAAGATTCAACTGGTTCTCTTCTTCTCGGGGGAAAAAAGAGTTCCTATTGTGTTTTTGAGATCTTTCAGAAGAAATTTGCCGCCTCAAAAATCCAGGGCTTCCCTGAAGACGGCAGACGGCAAGCAGCAGACAGCGCACTCCCCTCAAGCTGGCAAATAGGACGAATTTTTCCCGTCTGCTCTCTAATTTGAATTATCAATAAAATGGCTTGGCTTATCTGTGAAAATAACCTTGTTGACAGCACCAATATGGACTGAACCATGCTACCTCCACGTTTAAGATTTAGGAAGCCCCCAGGAAATGTCAGGAGGTGTCAGTGTGGTTGCTGTGATATTTGGTCATTATTGGTGTTTAACTGCAATTCCCCACCAGCGCCACGCGGCTAGCACCACCATAAATTTTAATGTGATCATGTGCTCTTCTCTTTTCATATTCAGTGAATTCTGCAGGATCATAATATTCTGTATGAACCCTCACTGAACCTCAGTGTAATGGGATGAAAGAACAAGATTTCTAGCAGTGATAGTTGTTCATCATTTTATAGGTGTTTTTTTTTTTTTGGGGGGGGGAGGCGGAAAACTGGACACTGAACAACACAGTTCCTTGAATAATATTACCCCAAACTAAGTCCACGCATTCAATGCATCTTTGTTGAGTCCTCCAGGATGCAGGGCACGGCCCAAAGTGCTAATGACTACATTTATGGGATAGTAAAGAACACTGACTCTTAAGGAAACCTCCCCGCCCCCGACTCTGGAAAACCTGTCAACGCTCGTACATCATTTATAAAACCAAAAACTGTCTCTGCAGCCTTGGCTCCACTGCATGCCTGCTATTTTGCAGAGCCCAAACAAAAGCATGGCTGTTTCCTTTATCTGGTCTCCACTGTGACTATAAGAAGTGTGTTTGTCACCTTTCATTATGCATGTGCTCGATGGAATCTCTATTCGACATGCCTCTATCAATAAAGAGAATTTGTATAATTATTCTTCACCTGCAGGTTTTTATTCCTAGTCTTAATCATAAATTATGAATGGCATTATATACTCTGTTTATCTGAGGAATTAAAAATATTTGGAAAATTTTCAGCTATTTAAATATCTCTTTAGAAGCAAAGAATAATGCTGAAGCTTTCATTTCAAAAATATGGAATCCAGAGGCATGGAATAAGTCATTAACAAGGTTTCCAGTGAATTAAATTTCCACCATTTTATATAAAATTGCCTCTCCCACAAAGAAGTTTGTTCTTTTTCTTTTTTTTTATTTTATTTCTAAAGGAACAAAAGTGCTCTGTTACCTAGACATAAGGTGGAACACTTTTGCAGAACATAATTCTCCCAGTCAATAGTTTATTCTCTGAGTTTGAAGTGATTTGGGGGTTAAGGTTAGGAAACCGGTGCGCATATTTATCATTTGCTTGTGCTGTTGTACATAGTGTCATAATTTGCTCAGCAATGACACACAACTATGAATTTTCCCTTTGCCAGAGACAATGGGCTTAAAAAACACAGCCATGGATGTAAGGTCACAGGGAGAATGCCTTATTATTCCTGCTAACAGCTCGGAAAGAAAGGAGGCAGATTTCTTCTGATGGGAGAGGCCCTTTTGTACACCTTGGCTTTGTTGGTGTCTCTTTTAAAACAAAAAAAGAGGGTGGGGTGGAGTGTACCTCCGTGTCTCCTGGACTCTAAGAAGCACTTTCAAGGAAGGTAGGTAAGGTGTGGCGCGCCCCCTCCCCCCCCCTCGGCACTCCTCCCCCACTTTCCTGCCAACTGGCTGGGAAACTTTGCCTTGGAGCTCCATCTAGAGGAAAATTTAGCTCACATACACCATGTTTCTTGGCTTTGTGACTCAGACGGAATCCAAAACAGTAGTTGGATTTCCCTCCCAGATTAAGAGAGATTTTGGCTCTATCGTAACACATGGATACAGAATAAGATATAACTAGAATGTAAATAGAATCACTTATGAAAACAAAACAGCGAACGACTCTAATATTCTAAGGAGTGTCCTTTCATGGAAAAAAGTAAGTTATCATTTTGCCATAGACCAAGGTCATATTCCAGAAATTAGGATTGATGAATGAATTAAATAAACTTTTTTCTTCAGTGATCAAGTAACATTTGGTAATTCTAGAATGATTTCATCAGTTAAAAATTCTAATGAACTAAATTGTCCATGGTCAAGATGGAGAAGATATTGCTTGTGTTAGGAACAAACCGAAGCCGACATTTTCAACCTATTGTTACTCTTAGTCAAGGTCAGCAAAATTTAATGAGCAGAAAATAATATTTTTTACAGATGTAGTCACTTCTTTCAATTCCAGGGAGAAAAAAATAACATTGACCAACATGTTCTTTCCAAAGTCATGTTTTTATTTTGCAATACCCATCCCATCGACCACAAGAGAACTTTAATAGCAAACTCCTTCAGTTTGTTTAGCATTAATACAAAAACAAAACCCAAATCTTCTCAAACAGTGATACTCCTCAAGATTGCTGAGCTGACTTTCAAAAATAACTACTATACCCTTGAAATATTCTGTCAATGTGAGTACCACCATTGTGGTAACGTAGTTTGAGAATTCTGCTTTCTCCAATTTCTTAAAAAGGATCAAGATTGTCCATTTTATGGAATATTTACTCGACAATTGGGTATGCATTTCCTTTTACTCCTAAGTGGCACCCTGATCCTTCCACTCTTGCCAGCTTCCCCACTCCAACTACTTTAAGGCTTGTCATGAAAGTCTGCTTCTACCCTTGACATCTCTCACTCACAATGTCATAGCCAGCCATTCCTTTCCCTTGCTTGATAAGGTTCCTGTTTTCTTATTTTGAGAATTTGCTATAAATCCATAGGTTCTCCAAAGGAACAGGTTAATAATTTCTTTATTGAATGTCCTCTCTATGTGCCAGACATATGAACTCTGCACCAAGAAAATTATTCCTTGTCCACTGAGATCTGATATGAAAAAGCAAAGTGAAAGTGGTTATTATTATTTTTGAGCGACATTGGCACTTGAGCAATTAAGACTCATAGTTCAAAGCATTTCTTCCTCACGTGACAGACTGACTGCTTTTCATGGTGTAAGCTACAGAGGATGGGACCAGTCCACTTTTTCCAAACTGATCTTCTTGTTCCTTACGCAGTTGAGGATCCAAAAACAAGTCCTTGAGTGTACAAGTGAAGACATTTTGGTCCCATCTTCCTGTGCTTTCGGCACATTTGAGGTCGTCAACCCAACATGCATTTCTTGGAAACCTACCATGTGCATGACAGAGTGCAAAGTGCTGGTGAGGATCTCAATAAACAGGTGCTGAGCCAATAAGTGAAATGTATTAAAAGAACAAGAAATTATCTCTTCAGCCTAAAGAAGCCTACTCTGTAGGAGTACAGGAGGCTGTAACTTAAAACACATGGCAGACAGAGCTCAGAGCAATAAGGGATTGTTGGCAGATGCTTGGGGAGAAAAGGGAAGATTTCGTGGGGAAAACTGGCATCAGATCAATGCCTCAAAGGATGAGTACAATTTGAATTGGCAGAGAAGTTCATGAAGAAACGGGATAATCTTTGCTCATTCGGACTGAAGGGAAATGTATCTCATTTGGAGTTCCCTGTTTTGGATTTAAGTTTTAATCTGGGTGCAGAGATGTAAGGTATTGAGATTTTTGTTATGTGAATCCAAAACTCATGTTCTCTTTTCATTTTACATACTAAACATGTTCACACATGCATACACACGTGTATGTATACAAAGGAATGATATATAACACTGAGGCTAAAGAAATCAATAAATTTAAGCCAGGAAACATTTTATTACATGATAGCTTAACAGTCTAAGTTGAAAATCAAGCCAAGACAAGCCTTATTTCTTGCCAGCAAATGGAGATGAAGAGAGAATTTTGTTTCAATCTTTGCCACAAACATTTGCTTTTAGATTAAATTCCAGGGCTTACTTCTGGCAAGCTGCCCTAGTTTTCTCCATAAAGAAAGACTGCCCACCATGACTGGGTTACCGCCCCTGGGGCAGAGATTTCAAGCCTAGTGCATCCCTACCCCCTGAGAACATCCACTCCCTCTCCTTCCTCCCTGGGCTTCCCTTGGCCTCGCTGGCCATTCTCCCAGATCGGCCTTCTCAGGATTTCCGTGTCCCCGTGGGTAATGGCCACACAACCCTACTCTGGCTTTCCACCAGCCAGTCTTCTCCAGTAATCTCTTTGTCCCGTTACTCATCCTCGTATCCTTTGCAAAAAGATTACTTGGCAAATCCAAGCATTTCTTCTGTAAAAAGAACCAGATTCCTAAGATAAAACATTGAAGAGCCTCAAGTAATCATTCCAAGACTACGCCTGCTTCAAACGTCAGTGGTGCCACGGTGTAAGAGCTCAGACACTGTGGTGAAACATGCCCTCCCATAAGCAGGCAGATGAACTCCACGCAAAATAAATTACACGGCAATGTGTCACAGACACGGAAACGTGAAGGAGAAGGCCTGGAGGCCCACACAAATGACAGATGACTTTCACCGTCACTGAACACACTTACGGTCAACATCGCAAACATCAGCTGGCACACGTTGAAGGCGTGTCTCCAGTTGTGGTACAGAACCATTCGGTAATTCTTCCTCACTGTTAAAAGCCACCGGCACAGGGTCTGAAACGGGGAGGGAGAGGTGGTGTCAGGCAGTTGTATGTGTATCTGGCAGACCATTACGAAAACGATGCCTCGGAGTCATCTTGTTCGATTCCGACCCCTCACAAATACCTCATGTAACTTTTTCGGTGATCCTATGAAGTGTGCAGGGGAAAGCAGTACCATCCCCAGTTTGCATTTGGGAAGCCGGAGGCTCAGAGTGGCTGCCAATGTGTTCCACGTGCCCTCTGGACTCACCCAGGACAGAAGGCCTTACCTCATAGTCGATTTTAAATTTCTGAACCATCCCCAGCTCCATGAACATCCGAAGGGCAGCTGTGATCATGGCATCAACGTCGAGAGAAAAGTCATCAAAATGTATGTCATCGATGGCAAGTTCTGACACCAAAGGGATGTTGGCTGCCTACGAACGCAAGAGACATAAGTCAAGGCAAGTTCACCAGCTTTTCCAAGTCCCTCATCTTGCCCTCCTCTCCTGCTTATCTGACGGGCCACATAAATCAGGCCTGACCTGCACTTACACCCTGATGCAGCTAAACTCTGAGCTGGAAATGTCTTTTGTTTCTGAACTGCAAATGCCCCAAGCAAATGAAAGGGGGAGGGTAAAAAAGGAAACTAATCTGAAAAAAAAAAAAAATACATGCTGGAGCTCATCTGCAGAATTTAGAATACAAAGCTGTCTCGTTTGCTGAAACCACAGCCATACAATATATTCTGATGCATATTACAGAGCAGAAAATGCAAGAAACATCTGGGCAGCCAGCAGCTGTGAATTTTAATTGCTGCCATTCAGGAGAAGGACACGGGGATACACTGCGCTGCCTTGTTTTATGTAGCCTTACGTCCTGTAGCTGTGCACGTGCTCTTTGTTACGCGCATTGTGTTTATATAAGGATGGAAAGGATCAGAGAGCACCTCTCCGGTGCAGAATGTGTTTTCCTAACAAAACAAATACTTGCAGGGGTAGTATAGGCATATGCTTCATTGAAGGGATGAATTTGCAAGATTGTTTAGCTTCATTATCTCTAAACCATTTGATAAATGTTAACATAATTACAATTGTGATTATACAAAGTCATCCCTTTGTGTCTAAGGAGGATTTGTCCCAGGAGCCCCATAGATACCAAAGTCCACGGATGCACAAGTCCCTTATGTAAAATGGCATAGTATTTGCATATAACTTACATACCTCCTCCATATATTTTAAAGCATGTCTAGATGACTTACAATACCTAATATAACGCAAATGGTATGTAAATACTTGTTATGTTGCTTAGGAGACAATGACAAGAAAAAGCTTTGTACATGTGAAGTTCAGACAAAACCCAAAACCATCCTAGGCCTAACTACAAGTCAGCAACCATATAACATTTTTGTTCCAATAGTTTCCATCTGCCCTTGGTTTAGCCCTCAGATGTGAAACCCCTAGATATGGAGGGCCAGCTGTATTCATTGTTTTCAAAACACTCATGTTAGGCAGCTGTCATTCAATTGTCCCACACAAATTTAAAGGTGGTGGGGGGGGAATCTTTCTTCCTAAAAATATGGGTTTACCATATTTTTTGGGCCTGTCTTGGTAAGGGAATAATTTCTGTGTTTTCAGATTATCAGGGACCATTCTGCTTCCATATTTTTAATCTATTCCCTGGGTGTGAACTCCCAGGGGATACCTTATGCCCTGGGACTCGTCTGGCTGAGCAATGAAGTCCAACTGTGGTGACTCTAAGCATCCCAGAAACCATATAATTGGTCCTTTCTTCCCACCCCACCTTCCTCCGCAGGCATTTACATCTCTAGGCTAAAATCCAAGCACAACGTGAAAGAACAATGGACAAATACATAAATTACAAGACAAGTTACATTCTGCAGATTGGTTATTTTCATTAAAAAATGAATCAGCTTATCCTTCAGTGAATCATTGTAATATATTAACATGTTTGTAGAATCTAGCTCCTTGGAATTAAAAAGGTAAGACTTGTAACAAATGTATCACTGTTGGTGGAAGAGGCTGTGCATGTGTGGGCCTGGCAATACGTGGAAATTTCTGTATTTTCCTCTTAAATTGTTTGTGAATATAAAACTACTCTAAAAACAATAGTCTTTAAAAATAGAAAAAAAAATAAAAAGGTAAGACTTGTGAAATTCAAACATGGTGGTGGTAGAAATAATCTCTGTATGTCCTTATTCGAAGTTCCTGGCCTTATGCTAAGCACTCCAGTACTTTGTTTTTTACTTTAAAAATATTTTAAAATCAAAGTTATACATGCACATAATTTAAGAGTTAATTAGTTCTGCATAACTAGACACCTTCCCCTCCTCCCCCCACCCCTTCCCCCCCCCCCCCCCCCACACACATACACTTATGGAACTCCTCTGGTGCCAAGATTTTTAATTATTTTGTTTTAAGTATTTTTATTAACTTTCCAACATTGAAGATGAAGAGTAAGCTGTCTAACATTTTATCTATAACCTCTGTGATCTTCTACACTAACCCTTCTTACTTCCAATATACAGGGTGGGTCAAAAGTAGGTTTACTGTTGTGAGTAAGCAAAACATAGAGTCCAGTCTTGTATTATTATTAATTATTGTATTTTTTCTATACTAATAACTGTACACCTACTTTTGCATCACCCTGTAATAATATAATAACTTTGTTTAGAGAAATATTCAGGGTTATATTATCACAACTATGTAAAAGATAGTCATAGCTAAGTCATTAAATTGACTATAATTATTTTTTCTTTCCTTGACAGCATTTTGTGTTTAGTTTTCTATACACTTACCAATAATTCAACCCCCTAAACTCTCCACAATTATCTAAGACTCATCTAAAAAAAAATTTGATAGCATCTTAATTTTGTTTCATGGATACAATATCTTCTCTTACCTCTCTGATGGTAAGATAATTCTACTTGACATTTTCTTCTTCCTTCAGAACTCAGAGTTCCTGCAATCGGTCCTGGTGGGCTTCTATGCCTGATACCTGGCATTTGCCCCAGGGTGTTCCTCCCCCATATTTCCAGGAGCGTCTCCATTTCTCTTTTATTTCTATATCCGACATCATTCTCTTTTCCTGGTTTCTCTCTTCATCTTCTAACAGTTTCCCAAGAGAAAGTGTGTAGTAGAAAGATGTGTGCGTCTGATTGTTTTCATATTACGGTCACAATTGATTGATAATTTGTCTAGCTATAGATCTCTAGGTTGGAAATAATTCCATTAGAACTTAGAAGGCACTCCTGTTCCAACTTTAGATGTTACTTTTGTTCAGAGTCCCAATCCTTTGAAAATGACTCCCTCTCCTGGGTCATTTTTGTAGGCTTTTTTCTTTTGGCTTCCAAAGTTCTGAAATGTCATGAAAATGTGTCTAGGTGTGAGTTTATTTTCATTAACATTCCTAGGTACTTTTGAACCCTTTAATCTGGAAAGTCAAGTCCTTTAATCCCAGAAAAAAAAAAGTAAAATACTCTCTTTGATGAATCCAAAAAATCTTTCCCTTCTTATTTTTTAGGAATTCCTTTTATTTAATTTTTAGCCTGGTTTTATTTCCTCTTTGGCCTGGTTCTTCTTTTGGTGTCCATATACTTCTTTTTAATTGTTTAAAAATAGCATCCTATTCTTGGCTGGTGTGGCTCAGCTGATTGGGTGCTGTCCTATGTACTAAAGGATTGCTGGTCCAATTCCCAGTCAAGCACTTGCCCAAGCTTTGGTTTAATCTCCAGTTGGGGGCGTTCAGGAGGCAGTTGATTGATGTTTCACTCTCACAACGATGTTTCTCTCTCTCTCCCTCTCCCTTCCTCTCTTTCTCTCAAAATCAATTTTTAAAAATATTTTAAAAATAGTATCCTAATTTTGTTTCATGGATCAATATCTTCTCTTGCCTCTCTGAGGATAATAAGGATAATTCTAATTGACAATTTCTTCTCCCTTCACTTGTTACTTTACTCCATTCACTTAGTTTTAATTGTGGTAAAACACACAGAACATAAATTTATTCTTTTAATAATTTTTAAGTGTACAGAACAGTATTGTTAATTATCTGCACATTTTTGCACAATAGATATCTAGAACTTTCCATCTTGTATGACTGAAACTCTGTATCCAACGAACAAATCCTCATCCTACTTTTCACTCAGCATAATGTGTTCAAGGCTCACCCAAGTTGTACCAGGTGACAGTATTCTTCTGTGTATAAGGCTGAATAAATATCCCATTGTATGTATACTATTAAACCACATTTCTGTATCAACTCATCTGTGGAGCAGAGGCTGTAAAGGCACTAGAGGCTTTCCCGGGTGGAGTGGTCATCTTTGCTTTTCTGCTCCTGTTTAAGCAGGGCTCGAAAAGCTTCCATTAAAGCGTCTGGGGGCTTCTCTGTAAAGGAATCTGGTCAACTGTTTCCTTGGGGAAACCACCAAATGTTGGTATCTTTGGGACTTTGCTCTTTGGCTATTCAGATTCCCCAGGGAAGCATCTTCTGGCGGGAGCCGGTGGGGAAGGGGCGTGGAGGAGGAGCCTCAGCACTGGTCAATAATTCTTCATCCACCCCCTGCACTCCCACCTCAGGTTTTGCATTGGGGTCACCCTAACTTGAGGGCCCACTGTTATATCCTCTTTGGAGGGTGAACCTCCAGTCTTATGGCGTGGAGGAATGAGACAAAGAATCTAGAGGTCAAAGTGCTTCTTAGATTCTCTGTTTAACTGTTTATAGCCCCACCTTTATCCCTTCTTCCAAGTCAGCCAATTTCCGAGCTACTTGGGGGCAAGAGTCTGTGATATAAATCTGTTTGCCTCTCAGCTTTTCCCATTGCTAGCTTATGTTGTTTTTCTTGGTTTTGCTGTTACTTGACACTTGTCCATTCCTTTGTTTTTGAGAATTTATGCCTTAAAAAATATCCCGGCCTTTGCCGGTTTGGCTCAGTGGATAGAGTGTGGCCTGAGTTTCAAAGCGTCCCGGGTTTGATTCCAGTCAAGGGCACATACCTCGTTTTGCAGGCTTCTCCCCAGCCCGGGCCCTGGTAGGGCATTTGCAGGAGGCAATTAATCGATGTGGCTCTCTCACATCGATACTTCTCTCTCTCTCTCTCTCTCTCTCTCTCTCTAAATCAATATCCTTGGGTGAGGATTAAAACATAAATAAATAAAAATTTAAAAATATCTCTTTATTGTTATTTTAATGTGGTTGGTTACAGAACACAATAAAGTTAGTGTGTTTACCATCTTTACCTAAAAATCATGAAAATTATCTCTCTTGAATGTCTTAAATAAGAGCTTAGAGAACTCAGAGGTAGTCCCTTTGCCTGTCTGTGCCTGGGCCTGGCTGACCGTGTAGAACTTTCTCTTATTCTGCACCTGTGTGGTCACTCTCGTCAACCCTGACCTCGCTTCTTGGGCTGTGATAATCT